TAGTCCCAGCTACTCAGGAGGCTGGGGCAGGAGAATGGCGTGAACCCAGGAGGTGGAGCTTGCAGTGAGCCCAGATCGTGCCACTGTACTCCAGCCTAGACGACAGAGCCAGACTTCGTCTCAAAAAATAAAATAAAATAAAATAAAATAAAAAATAAAAAATTAGCTGGGCGTGGTGGTGCATGCCTGTAGCCCTAGCTACTCGGGAGGCTGGGGCAGGAGAATGGTGTGAACCCAGGAGGTGGAACTTGCAGTGAGCCCAGATCGCGCCACTGCACTCCAGCCTGGATGACAGAGTGAGACTCTGTCTCAAAAAATAAAATAAAATAAAGTAAAATAAAAAATTAGCTGGGCGTGGTGATGCATGCCTGTAGCCCTAGCTACTCAGGAGGCTGAGACAGGAGAATCGCTTGAACCGGGAGGCGGAGGTTGCAGTGAGCGGAGATCGCACCACCGCACTCCAGCCTAGGCAACAGAGAGAGACTGTCTGAGAAAAACAAACAAACAAATGCCAGGTTTTTGACTAGGTACATTAGTTCACATCTGTAATCCCAGCACTTTGGGAGGCCAAGGTGGGGGGATCACTTGAGGTCAGTAATTCGAGACCAGACTGGCCAATACAGTGAAACCCTGTCTCTACTAAAAATACAAAAATTAGCCAGGTGTGGTGGCATGCGCCTACAGGCTACTCAGGAGGCTGAGGCAGGAAAATCACTTAAACCCGGGAGGCAGAGGTTGCAGTGAGCTGAGATCGTACCACTGCACTCCAGCCTGGGTGACAGAGTGAGACCTTGTCTCAAGAAAAATAAATAGATAAACAAATAATGCCAGGTTTTCATTGTATTGTGAAATGTAATTCTTAGTTGTTTTAATATAAAATTGTGGAGTTTTTTTCTCCCTCCATTTTTCAAGGGAGATGGTTGTTCCTGGAAGATTTCCCACGTTTATCTCATGGTGTTGTTCACCCTCCTGGTACGTGGCACAGTAGACCCCTGGGCCCTTGGAAAGGACCTACTAGCACAGCCATCAGTTTAAGAGTTACACACAAATGTGAGCTAGCGAGTGTGAAACCTAAAATGCACAGCCATGGTGGCATTCCAGGCATAGGGGCAGGTGAGGGATGAGCTCCAGAGCCGGACAGACCTGAGTGTTCCCAACCCACTTTGCCTTCACGTGAGTGGACAATGTAACTTGTCTGGCTCTCAGTGTCCTCATCTGTACAATAGGAATAATATCTTGTGCTCCGGTTTAGGAAATGAAGTCATGGCCACTAGACCTTTGGCCATCTCTGGCTTTGTTGTGGGCCTCCCTTGCTGGGTATCCTCGGAAAACTTGTCAAGAAAAGTAACCAGCTGGCCAGGTGCAGTGGCTCATGCCTGTAGTCTCAGCACTTTGGGAGGCCAAGGAGGGTGGATCACGAGGTCAGGAGTTCAGGACCAGCCTGACCAACATGGTGAAACCCCGTCTCTACTAAAAATACAAAAAAATTAGCCAGGTGTGGTGGTGCATGTCTGTAATCCCAGCTGCTCAGGAGGTGGAGGCAGGAGAATTGCTTGAACCCAGGAGGTGGAGGTTGCAGTGAGCTGAGATCAAGCCACTGCACTCCAGCCTGGGTGACAGAGCGAGACTCCATCTCACAAAAAAAAAAAAGAAAAAGAAAAAGAAAAAGAAAAGTAACCAGCTTTAAAGGCTGCCGCAAATGTAAACCACTGGAAAGCATTGCTCTAGTCCATGGCTTTCTAACCAGCAAGCAGTGTCCTGTTGAAACGGCTGAAGTGGAGTCTGGCTCCCGGCCCCTCAGGAGCCCTTCCAGCACCCATTGCTTCTCTTGCAGGCGTCTGCAACGTGGACCATCAGAACAAAGCTGGCTACACTGCCGTAATGATCACTCCCTTGGCTTCCGCAGAGACCGATGAAGACATGGCTGTTGTCTGGAAGCTCTTAAGAGAAGGAAATGTGAACATTCAAGCTACTCAGGTGGGTGGAATGAACATGATCTCTTCAGTAAATGCAGGGGCACCTCCCAGCTTTATTCTGCTAGCGTGGAGAGAAATTCCATGCAGATCCATGTAGTTTTTAACCCAAGTGAGGCTGGGACCTCCAAATGGCATCAGGCAAAGCCTGAATATTCAGTTTTCCTTATAGGCTCCTGAGACCCAGTCAGGCTTGCACAGAGGTCAGTGAGCTTCTAATACAGGCCCCAGTCTGAAACTGAGCAAATTCCATCCGGGAGCAACCTCCCATTCTCAGTTGCCATCTTGAGAAGGCATTTGCTAGTTGGCTGCTCTAAGAAAGCCCTTACAGGTGACCCACCTTGATCATGGCCCAGAGCATCTAACTAGGCTCTTTGGAGGTCCGGTCCTTTAAAGAAGTTCTCACCTCTATCACTCCAAAGCCTTTTAACAAGGTCATGAGTCCTCAGACTGAGGGAAACTGTGGATAGCCAGGGCAGACAGAAGCATTGGCTCATCATTCCTAGGGGCGTGAGGATTTCCACTTTCCAGGCTTATATCAGCTTAGCTCAGAGGCTTATTAGAGAGTTCTGCAGATCATTATCAATCAACCTGGCATGCTGCCTCCGCCCTTGAAATAACCAGATCCCAAAACACTCCTGTCTGCCTTACCTTTGCACCAACAAGTGTGAGTGGCATTATTCCAGACACACAAATCACGCCCCAGTCCTCAGGAGCAGTGCCATGGGCCAGGCTGGAAACAGCAGTTGCTGTGAAGAGCCAGTGGAGCCCTACACAAATGTAGTAGCCAGGGATTCAGGACACGTGGGCTCCACGAATTCCTTGGGCCACTTGCGTCCTAGGTCACAAGAGCCCTTAAAGGTCACCTAGGTCTACCCCTTATTATTTTGCAAAATCCTACAAGGTGGTCTCCAGCTCCAGGACCTCCAGTGTCAGGAAACTCACGCTCTACCAAAGCAGCCCATTTGTTACTCTAGACAGCTCTGATAACTTTCTGTACTGAGCCAAAACTGGGTACTCTGAATCTTTCTTTTTTTGGAAACAGAGTCTCGCTCTGTCACCCCGGCTGGAGTGCAATGGCGTGATCTCGGCACGCTGCAACCTCCACCTCCCGGTTCAAGCGATTCTTCTGCCTCAGCCTTCCAAGTAGCTGAGACTACAGGCACCCGCCATCATGCCTAGCTAATTTTTGTATTTTTTAGCTATGGGGTTTCACTGTGTTGGCCAGACTGGTCTTGAACTCCTGACCTCAGATGATCCACCCGTCTTGGCCTTTCAAAGTGCTGGGATTACAGGCGTGAGCCACCGCGCCCGGCCTCTGAATCTTTCATGGAGTGATTAGAAGTTGATCAGGGTTCACTCCAAAAAACGATCTTAAGACAGCAAAGGCAGCACAGAGGGTTGGAATGTCTCTATTCATCTTCTGGGGCCCTCTGCTTGAGAACACAGGGTGGGGGTGTGGTCCTTACCCAGAAGGGCTTTGAGTTAGACAAGGCTCCACATAGAACAACAGGGACTCCTCAAAAGGTCATTTGCCCATTTTTTGAACCTACAGGAATGAATGGAGTATGTTTAACTCTCCTTTCTCCTGGAGTGATCATAGAGGATAAGGTAACTGTTGAGAACTGTGAAGAGGCTGGGCTTTTACCCCATGTTAAAGCTAACAAGGTGGCCTGCTACAGTTTTGTGGATACTGGCAGAAGACATGAGACTTCTGTGCCCAAGACAAAGGACCATGTATTACCCACAGCCGAAGCAGTAGCCATAGTATCAGCATTGCCCAAATCCCAGCTCCTACGGGGCAGTGTGAGGAGGGCCAGAAAGCTGAGCATGGAGTGGGCTGCGTTACAGGACAGGACGCCTGAGCATAGGGAAACTGAAGCTTTGATAAGGGACGCTAAGCCTGCCTGCCCTTTTCTCCAAAGAAGACATAAGGCTGTTCACTATATAAACACCCTTAAAAAGATAGTCTAGAAAAAAAGGGCAGATTGTGGTGTGCTTTACTCACCGGAGTACTCATGCTACTCCACTCCAGCCTGGGTGCAGAAAAGCAAGAGACTTATGGAAAATGGACTCCTAACAATATATTAAGCACCACTGTCCCATACTCCCCCAGAGTGATTGCAGATAGTAACCCAACCCGATGGCGAAGTCATCGTTGCATACTAATAGCAACCCTAGTGATGGCCAGAAACCAATATTTGTAGATTGCTTTCTGGTTTTCAAGGTATTCTACTCACCTACAACTCCTGTTCCATAAGACTCAATACAGCTAATGTTTCATTTTTAACTAATGTTTCCCATAAATATGTTAATTATTTTCTAAATTGTCCCTCTTGTAAGAGGGAATGCTTGCAAGAGGATCAAAATCAACCCCTTCTTTGTACAGAGAAGAAACTGATGCTGTAGGAGGACAAGGGACTCATTCTGGGTGACCACAGGAGGGATGAGAATGCATAGCTGCAGCCATTCCCTTTAACTCCCCCTGGGCCTTCACATGTGAAGAGAGGCGGAGGTACCAGATTCAATGGGAATGCGCTGGGAGTCTCCTAGGAACAAACTGCTTCTCTCTGGATCTCCAGGGCAGTGCAGCAGCATATAGTAGCTCTCTGTAAATGCTCATTGAATTAAATTATATTGAAAGGGACCAGGAGAACGATGAGGAAGGAAGGGGTCCTGCATCAGGCAGAGGGGCAGATGTGAGGACCATCTGCATATGTCAAATGGCTTTAATAACAGTTGGAGGCTGGGCGCGGTGGCTCATGCCTATATTCCCAGCACTTTGGGAGGCCAAGGCGGGCTGATCACTTGAGGCTGGGAGTTTGAGGCTAGCCTGGCCAACATAGTGAAACTCCATCTCCACTAAAAATACAAAAAAAAAAACCAAAAAACTTAACTGGGCATGGTGGTGGGCGCCTGTAATCCCAGCGACTCGGGAGGCTGAGGCAGGAGAATCGCTTGAACCTGGGAAGCAGAGGTTGCAGTGAGCCGAGACTGTGCCATTGCACTCCAACCTGGGTGACAGAGCAAGACTCCGTCTCAAAAATAATAATAATAATAATAATAATAAAACAGTTGGAAAGAGGGGTCTGGAAACTTTGTGGTCTGGATAGTTCAGTAAACAACCGTATATATGTATGTATATACATGTATATGTATGTATCAACCTGGCATGCTGCCTCAGCCCTTGAAATAACCAGATCCCAAAACACTCCTATCTGCCTTATCTCTGCACCAGCAACTGTGAGTGGTATTATTCCAGACACACAAATCATGCCCCAGTCCCCAGGAGCCATATATATATATGTATGTATATATACACACATATACACACACATATACGTATATATACATACATATATACACACATATACATATATGTGTATATATACATACATATATACACATATACGTATATGTGTATATATACATACATATATACACATATACGTATATGTGTATATATACATACATATATATATACATATATATACATATGTATATATATATACATATATATACATATATACGTATATGTGTATATGTGTGTGTGTACATGTATATATACATGTATGTGTACACATATGTATATATATACACACACACATAAACACATACATGTAATATATACAAGGTCTGGAAACCTTGTGGTCTGGATAGTTCAGCGACAAGGTTTCACCATGTTGGCTAGGCTGGTCTTGAACTCCTGACCTCAACTGATCCACCCATCTCAGCTTCCCAAAGTGCTGAGATTACAGCCATGAGCCACCGCACCCGGCCCTATGTATATCTCTACAGTCCTCTCATCCAACTTTATTATATTTTGCCCTCATGGTTTTCCTGTGTTCCAGGCAGGTCTCTCTGATGGGACATCAGGCTTTGTAAGGTTGAAGAATAAGGCAAGAACTGTTTTCTCTCCTTTTGGATCCCCTGAGGCCCTGAAAGCACTATCTTACATGTAAAAACTGCTGAGGGCGGCCGGGCGCGGTGGTTCACACCTGTAATCTCTTACGATTGGGAGGCTTGAGGTGGGAGGCAATACCTGAGCTCAAGGAATTTCGAGTACCAGCCCGACCCAAACATAGTGAAACTCCATCTCTACTAAAAAATACAAAATAGCCCGGCATAGTGACGGGCACATTGTTTAATCCTCAGGCTACTCCGGAGAGCTGAAGGCAGGAGAATGGCTGACCTGGGAGGTGGAGGTTGCATGATCCAAGATTTGCACCAATTGCCACCCAGGCCTGGCAACAGAGCCAAGACTCCATCTCAAGAAAAAAAAACCAAACATTGGCCAGAGGATGGGCATACGCCTATGGTCACAGCTACCAGGAGGCCGAGGTAGGAGATCACTTGAGCCCGGGGGCAGAAGTTTTGCAGTGAGCGTGACATGCTACACCACTCCAAGCCCTGGTGATAGAGTGAGATCTGCTGCAAAAAAAAAATAAAAAAAAAATATACATAAAGTATAAACGCACATCACACACACAACAATCCCAGCACAGACACCACACACACACTAGTAATAAAGAAACCATCTATGGAAATGGGAAAATGATGTCAAATTTGTAATTCAGAAAAAGTAGCTAGTACATTATATATTTTACAGTCTTTATCTCAAATTTATCCACAAAACCCTGTGAGGACACAGACAGCAAATCATGTTATATATATATATAATGTTTTTTTTTTTGAGACCGATCTTCTGTGCCAAGCTGGAGTGGCAGTTAAAGCACAAATGCCCAAGTCTCGCTCAAACCTCGCCTCCCGGGTCAAGGGCGAGTCTCCTGCCTCAGGCCTCCCGAAGTAGCAGGTGCCCGCCACCCATGCTAAGCTAATTTTTAAATCGGTTTTTTAGTAGAGACAGAGTTCACCATTGTGGCCAGCGCCTGGTCTTTGAAGCTCCTACCTCAAGGTGATCGGGCCTGCCTTGCCTCCCCAAGTGCAGGATTACAGGCATGAGCCCACTGCACCCCCGGGCGCCCCAATGTTATATTAATCTCTTAAGAGAAGGAAAACCCTAGCTGGGCACAAGTGACCATCACAACCGGATTCCCAGCACGTCTGGAGCCAAGGAGGCCGCGATCACCTGAGTCAGGAGTCTCAAAGAACGCAGCCCGGTCAACTAGGGAAACCCCATCTCTACAAAAAATAGCAAATAGCTTGGCATCCGGTGGCCAGGCATGCCCTGTAACACCCAGCTACCTTGGAGGCTGAGGCAGGAGAATGGCCTTGAAGCCAGGAGGCGGAGTTCAGTGAGCCGAAGATCGCCCCGTTCGCAGCCCAGCCCTGGCGCCAGAAACCGATCGAACTCATTCTCAATAAAAAAAAAACTAGCCAGAATGTAGGGAGTGCACATGCCTGTGAGCCCATCTACTTGGGAGGCTAAGGGGGGAGAATCACTTGATCCCAAAAGATTGACGCTGAAGTGAGCTGTGATTGTGCCACTGCACTCCAGCCTGGGTAACACAGCAAGACCCCATATTAAAAAAAAAAAAAAAAGAAAAACCAAGAATCAAGAAGACAGTGACGTGACCTGAATCATGCATTAGGAAACAGCAGAACTAGAACTTGAACTTGCTTTCTGATTCCAGCTCATTGCTACGTCCACCTATGATTACAGAGATGCCCAACATTACTGTCAATGTCTATAGCTTAGAAATGACCACGGAACATGCAACCAGAGATCATGTTGAGAGAGGAGGGTTCTGGTTATCCTTCAATGGAAAATTTCAGAGGCATTGAGCAGAGAAGGCTTCATGGGGAAAGTCAGGCTGAGGCAGGCAGTAAGAAGCCACGATGCTCAAGCACTCAACCTTCATCTGTTCCATCATTTCACATTTATCAGCATGTTCTTGGTGCTGGACACTGGGGAGACAGGGACAAAAACTCTTAGTCCCTGCTGTCAACAATGTCACATCCATGAGAAAGAGCAGTTGACAAGTTGCAATACTAAGTGGTGAGTGCTGTGTTAGGAATCCCGTGCCTGGGGAGTGAGAGAAGGCTTTAGAGAGGATGTAGCATTTGACTAATCTTAAAAGAGTGGAAGTTCGCCAAGCAGAGAAGGTTATGTCCCATATCAAGGGCAGGAGACTCAGATCAGTGGCTGTGTTCTTGGAAGTCTCTGATGAGCACACCCAGGCTGGAGAGGCGGTCCTTCCCCACTGGCAGCAACCTCACCACATCCCTGTGGCTCTGCATGCAGGGAGGCCAGACTGCACTGATGCTGGGAGTCAGCCACGACAGGGAGGACATGGTTCAAGCGCTGCTTAGCTGCCAGGCAGATGTCAATCTGCAGGACCACGATGGATCCTCGGCCCTCATGCTGGCCTGTCACCATGGCAACGTGGACCTGGTGCGGCTGCTCCTGGCACACCCGGCCTGCGACAGCAGTCTGACTGACAAGGTGAGACTTACAGGCAATTAACAAGTAGCTGTTGCTGGGCAGGGTGGCTCATGCCTGTAATCCCAGCACTTTGGGAGGCTGAGGTGGGAGGATCACTTGAGACCAGGAGTTCAAGACCAGCCTGGGCAACATAGGGAGACCCCATCTCTTTAAAAAAAAAAAAATGTAGCTGTTTAACTTCCCCTCCTGAAGAGTGCCTTGCCAGCCAGCAAAATTCAAGGAACCCTATGGCAGTGCAACAAAATCAGCCTTCTAAAGCTGTTGTGGGATTTTTTTTTTTTTTTTTGAGACGGAGTCTGCCTCTGTCGCCCAGACTAGAGTGCAGTGGCGCCATCTGGGCTCACTGCAAGCTCTGCCTCCCGGGTTCACGCCATTCTCCTGCCTCACCCTCCGGAGTTACTGGGACTACAGGCGCCCGCTAACATGCCCGGCTAATTTTTTGTATTTTTAGTAGAGATGGGGTTTCACCGTGTTAGCCAGGATGGTCTCGATCTCCTGACCTTGTGATCCACCCGCCTCGGCCTCCCGAAGTGCTGGGATTACAGGCGTGAGCCACTGCGCCCGGCCTTGTGGGATTTAAATAAGAGGCTCAGCACAGTGGCTCATGTCTGTAATCCCAGCACTTTCAGAGGCCAAGGCAGGAGGATTGCTTGAGGCCAAGAGTTCAAGACCAGCCTGGGCAGCACAGTGAGACCCCATCTCTACTAAAAATACAAAAATTAGCTGGGCGTGGTGGTGGGAACCTGTAATTCCAGTTACTCTGGAGGCTGAGGCAGGAGGATCACTTGAACATGCGAGGTGGAGGTTGCAGTGAGCTGAGATCGCACCACTGCACCACAACCTGGGCAACAAGAGTGAAACTCTGTCTCACACAAAAAGCAAAACAAAACAAAACATTAACCAGGTGTGGTGTTGCACGCCTGTAATCCCAGCTGCTCAGCAGGCTGAGGCAGGAGGATTTCTTGAGCCCAGAAGGTTGAGGTTGCAGTGAGCCACGATCAGGCCACTGCACTCCATCCTGGGTGACAGAATGAGATCCTGTCTCTAAAAAATTTAAAAAATAAATAAATAAATGAGATGATTCATGGTAAATGTTTGGAGTCTTAGAGCTGCAAAACCCACAACCCTAGCTTTTCACAACACCATCTTGGGCGAATATACCCAGGTCTGGGTATATTCAGCCTCGTTTGGTCACGGCAATAACAACATGTGGGCTTTGAGGCAGTAGCTTAGATGGGGAAGCTCTGCTGTCCAATAGGGACTCAAAAGCCTTCAGAAGGAATCAACCTTACAGAGTCATCTCTGTAGTCATTTAACTGAAAGTGCCTCTCAGACACAGATCCATTTTATGAAGCAGCCCATTCCATCAAGCCAGCCTACTTGAAGTTGCACTGTCAGTCACAGGCTTGTTAAATAAGCTTCCTCATAAGGTGATGGCAATGATGATGATGACAATAGTAACTAATCAGTAACAATAGTAACCAACACATATGGAGGGCTTACTCTGTGTCGGGTACTGTACTAAGCATTTGCCATGGACCGTCTCATTTAAACCCCACAACAATCTTGTGAGATTGTCTTCCTACTGCCCCACTTTGCTCAAGGAGATGGAGGCATCAAATGGTTAGGTTACATACCCAGGATTACTCAGCTAGTGGAACCCGGCTCCATTAAACTCCTGGGCCCATACCCTTAACTGTTCCATCATCATCACTGTTTCACATTGAAGCATCCATGTCTCTGGCTCCCTGCTGAATCCCCCACACCTAGTAGAGTGCCTGCCACATATCACTGAATCAATCAACAAATGAGTGAGTGAACCCCTAAACTTTGGAGGTAAGTCAACAGTAAGTGACCTTGTTCCTGATAATTACGGTAGGTATAATAATATTTCTAGAGTGCTCCTGGGAACTAAACCTTTCCCATGCATTACCTCTAATCCTCTCCCTCTCAGTAATCCAGTGACACAGATACTGATGTCCACTTTTTACTGATGAGAAAACAGGCCTGGAGATGTTACGTAACTGTCCTAAGAGTTACAGCCTACTGATTGTCAGAGCAGAGATTCAAGCCTAGGTCTGGCTCCAGTATCCTTAATATTGGCACTATAATTTAATGATTTAAGCAGCTGTCTTTATGCTTTCTTAACAGCCACAGTTCAAAGGGAACAAAAACCTGGCGAGGGGAAGAGAGTCCTCTCCCTGCCCAGGGGCAGCACCTCTTACTGGGCCACATTTAAACTACCCGGAGATTGACTCATCAGCAATTTAAGCTGCTGTGTCCCTCAGTCACACCCAGACAGCAGGCACCCATCCAGTGACTCTAGGTCCTGTGAACCCTACCTTCACCCCAAAGCCATTTCTGAGATCATTAGAGAGCACAGACCTTCTTGACATTCATTTGGGAACAGAGGTGGACTACTAGAAACCAGAGCCTCCTCTTCCAAACATTATATGGTCAGACAAAGGATCTGTGCTAATGAGCTCCCTGCTGGGTTGTCCTGGGGGAGAAGGAGGCAGCCCTAATCTGAAACAGGCCTGTACATCAAAGGCCCCCGGCCCTCTAAGGCATAGCCACTGCTGATGCCCAAAGAGGTCTGAGATGGGAGGCCTGTGGGACAGGCAGGCAGGCATGAGCTTTGGAAGTCCCTGGTTAGCTGGGATAATCAGGCAGTGGATCTGAGAGCTCTCCTGGGTATCTCTGGAGGTCTGTCACAGGTATGAGAGAGCTTAGTGGCTGCTTTCTGGTGGTGGAAGAGTTGTGGGATCTGTTGCATTTCAGACAACTCAAGCATGATTGTTAGAAGCATGGACTTTAAACACTCATGAGACCAGGTGCAGTGGCTCATGCCTGTAATCCCAACACTTTGGGAGGCCAGGTGGGGAGGATTGCTTGAGCCCAGGAGTTTGAGACCAGTCTTGGCAACAAAGTGAGACCCCCTGTATTAGTCCGTTTTCACACTGCTGATAAAGACATACCTGAGACTGGGCAATTTACAAAAGAAAGAGGTTTAATTGGATTTACAGTTTCACATGGCTGGGAAAGTCTCACAATCATGGCAGAAGGCAAGGAGGAGCAAATCACATCTTACACAGATAGCAGCAGGCAAAGAGAGAACTTGTGCAGGAACACTCCCCCTTATAATAACCATCAGATCTCATGAGACTTACTCACTATCATGAGAACAGCACAGGAAAGAGTCAATTACCTCACACAGTTCCCTCCCACAACACAAAGGAATTCAAGATGACATTTGGGTGAGGACACAGCCAAACCATATCACTCCCTCTCTACAGAAAACAGAAAAAGATTAGCCAAGTGTGGTGGCTTGCACCTGTAGTCCCAGCTACTCAGGAGGCTGAGGCAGGAAGATTGCCTGAGCCTGGGAAGTTGAAGCTACAGTGAGCCGTGATCATACCAGAGTGAGACCCTGTCTCAAAAAAAATAAAAATTAAATTAAATTAAACACTCATGAGTTCGAATCTAGGTTCAGTGACTTTGGGTAGGTGATCTAACTATTCTGGGCCTCTAGATGCTCATCTGTAAAATGGGGACAGCATAGACTCTACCTAAATACTGTAATGTTTATAAAGGCTGAATCTGACATCTAGGAGTACACAGGGGATGGTAACTGTTTTAATTATGAATAGATGAATAGTGGTAGCTAAAACAAAAAAAATACCACATCAACCAGCAGGGACCATGGCATTTACAGACAGTGTCTGGAGGGAGCAGAGAGAACAAAGGTCTGGAATTAGGGGAACCAATCAGAGTAGAGCGACCGACCCCGAAGGGAGAAGCCACTGACAGACTTGGGTCAATCTAGTGGTTCTCAGTCGGGGTGATTTTACCCTCTGGGGGAGTTTTGGCAATGTCTGGGGACATTTTTAGTCACAAGTGGGTGATCAAATGCTCCTGACATCTAGTAGGTAGAGGCCAGGGATACAGCTAAACATCCTACAATACACAGGAACAGCAAAGAATTAACACTTATCCATCCAGGCCCGGTGGCTCATGTCTGTAATCCCAGCACTTTGGGAGGCCAAGGCAGGTGGATCACTTGAGGTCAGGAGTTCAAGACCAGCCTGGCCAACATTTTGAAACCCTGTCTCTGCTAAAAACACAAAAATTAGGCGTGGTGGCACACGCCTGTAATCCCAGCTACTCGGGAGGCTGAGACAGGAGAATCGCTTGAACCTGGGAGGTGGAGGTTGCAGTGAGCTGAGATCGTGCCACTGCACTCCAGCCTAGGTGAAAGAGCAAGACTCTGTCTCAAAACAAAAACAAAAACAAAAAAATTATCTGGTCGAAATATCAGTAGTGCTGCGATTGAGAATGCCTGGTCTAGGCAAACACTGAAATCCAGGTGGGTTTAGGTAACCAATCCTGGTGAAGTGCTGGATCAGGGCGAGCCAGACCAGGCTGAGGACCGGGCAGGCTGGAGTTCAGGTAGGCTGTAGGCCTGGAAGGGAGGGACTGGAGTGCTAATCAGGAGATGGAGGAGGAAATCTATCCTGGCAGAAGCTGGAGCAACTCAGGGAAAGCCCAGCCAGCACAGTGGTGCCCAGGTAGTGCAGGTAATGGGCCCACAGGTAAGGCGGGTCCCAGACCCCACTCACGGATGGGTCACGTGCTGCCCACCTGGGTCAGGTTTGATTCACATGCAGATTCCCAAGGGTGACTTTGGGGAGCACAGTGTCTCCATCCACAGGGTGAGACATTTCAGTGGGAAAAGGGAGTTTTTGACAAGGCTCTACCAAATACCAAGGCTTGTACCTGGTGCTTCATATTTAGGGGGAAAGTCTGGCGCTTATCATACCCACCATATCATTTCCATATTCATCTTTCCTATGGAGGCTTAGGTGTTAACAGCAGAGCTCATTTGGGAATGTCTGTGGAAAACTGGGAGAGAATTCATGTCCTGAAATTGGTTTATTTCATCAACATTTAAAGCTCGGTATAAATGCAGAACTCCCAGAACAGCTGGCCAGGCCCTTCCCCTAGATTTAAAGACAATTTGAGGAAATCTGTCACCCAGCCTCTTCTGGGTCTCAGAGCCCACCCTTTAACTTGTCAGCCTCTTTAAAGCACCCATCAGATTGAAAACTTCTTGAAGGCGGAGATTATGCCTTGCTCATGTTTGGGTGATACATAGTGGGCTTGTGATGAATTCAAAGACACCCCCTCCAACACACGGGTACACACACAGTTGTACAGTTGTGCCAGCTGCCTGCACACTTCTCTTTTTCTTTCCTCCTTTTTTTTTTTTTAAATAGGGTCTCACCTTGTCGCCCAGGCTGGAATGCAGTGGCACGATCATGGCTTATTGCAACCTTGACCTCCTGGGTTCAAGTGATCCTCTTACCTCAGCCTCCCAAAGTGTTGGGATTACAAACATGAGCCAGTGCGCCTGGCCAAGTGCAGATTTTTGAATCCCTGAAGTTACCTGCAAATTTTGCACCATATCTGGCTAGTCCCCCATCTCTTCAGTCAGGATCTCCTAGAGCAGCTCTGGAGTGTTGTCGAGCAGGGGCTCACCATACCTGGCTCCCACGGGAGCTGCATGGCATGGGCTTGTTCCCAGGGTTCTGGCAGAGGCATCTGAGGAACACTAACCCTCGCCAAGTTGTCTCTGTGGCCACACCTCCTGAGCTGAATGCTGTCCTCTGCCCTCCATGTCAGCAGTCGAGGAGTCCACAGCTGCAGGCTGTCCTCCAGATGGACCCTGTTAAAAGGTGCGCCTCCCCTGGGACTGGCCTATGGCTCTTCTGCGTAAACACTGTCAGCACATACTCTGTGTTTACATAGAGCCTCAGGATTGACAAGGCACAGCGGATGGAGCTCAGGAGCAGGAACTCGAGCCTAAGTAAACCCAGGCCCCTCCTTTAGGAGGCTTTTATAGGACTCCCTGCTTAAAAGCTTTGCTTTGTTCCAGTACTTTCCAGTGTAAGAACCCGTTCACTAGGATTTAGATTCCATCAGCTTGAATGAATACCATTAGGTTCTCGTGCAGCATTCTCTCTTTCAACAATGCTTGTTGAGGGCTGACCAAACGCCAGGCTCTGGGCCGGGTGCCAGCATGCAGCAGTGAACAGGCCAGATCAGGTTCTTGACCTTGTGGAGACCGAAATTTATCAAATAACACCACAAATACCAGCATATAGCAAGTGGTAAAAGAAAAGTCTAGGGAGTCATGAGGGCTTTTCAGGGAAAGAACTTTGTATGTTTTGAGAAGCCCATGTACCATCTTTGGGGGTCCTACTGAAACACCACTTCCTTCCTCTGCCTCCCCGCAGCCATCTTCTACCCCGCCCTGGCACACAGTGGCCGTCCTCTCCCCTGAGCTCACTCTGTTCCTGTCTTCTGACTCGTTTAGTGCTTTGCCATGCTTTATAGTTATTTGCATGCATGGGAGCCCTGATGGCCACTGGATTCCATCCCTGTGCATGGGAAAAAGCCTGAAGTGTTAAGCTGGGTGTTAACACTTCCTACCTGCTTCTGTGAAAGAATTGTCCACATTTTAGGAAGTAAATCTGTGCCTATGCAGTAGAGAACAATCTAGTGGGGTCTTGGGTGTCCCTACCCATCAAACCCTTTACAGCAGCAAAATGTCAAAATATTCACAGTAGGCCAACAGCCTCAGGTCAGATTTCAGCTCCCAAGAAGTTACCTAAAGAGTGTGGTTTTCAGAGCTGTTGAGAGTTCAGAATTCTGGACGTGGGACTGAGCTCATTCATAAGAGACTGCGGCTGCTCAGTCAGGCCGGTGGTGCCTGATGAAGCCCTCTGGGTGCAGCTTCTTTAGACAGTGGGACTGTCAGCTTCCTGCATTGCGTGTCAATGTAAAGAATGCTGTGGCATCACAGATCAGGAGGTAAAAATGTGCATGTCGTTCAATGCTCTGAGCCCACTTTTTATTTTATTTTATTTTATTTATTTATTTATTTATTTAGAGACGGAGTTTCACTCTTGTTGCCCAGGCTGGAGTGCAATGGCGCGATCTCGGCTCACCTCAACCTCCACCCCCCAGGTTCAAGTGATTCCCATGCCTCAGCCTCCTGAGTAGCTGGGATTACAGACATGCGCCACCACGCCAGGCTAATTTTGTATTTTTAGTAGAGAGGGGGTTTCTCCATGTTGGTCAGGCTGGTCTTGAACTCCCGACCTCAGGTGATCCACTGGCCTTGGCCTCCCAAAGTGCTGAGATTACAGGTGTGAGCCACCGCACCCGGCCTCTGAGCCCACTTCTTAGAGTCAGTCCTTAGGAAATAATTAAAAATAGGAAAATGCTTTTTGCACTAAGATTATGATGGCAGAGACTTGGAAACAACATAAATTTCCATTGAAAGGAAGTTACGGAATATTTCCATAATTAGTAAAAAGTAGTAAATTATGGAATATTACACAGCCAAAAAGAAAAATCATGCATTATAATGGCTATGTAAGAATAAAGAAAAATCTTATAGCATATCATGGTAAATTAAGAATTAAAGCAAATTCAAAGTCGATATACAATATCATTCCTTTATTTAAAAACCAACAACATGACAGGTGCAGGACAGGACAGGATTACAATTCATGCCTGTAATCCTAAAACTTTGGGAAGCCAATGTGGGAGGGTCACTTGAGCCCAGGAGTTCAAGACCAGCCTGAGCAACATAGGGAGACCCTGTCTCTACAAAAAATTAAAATTAAAAAAAAAGAACCAACAACAAATTTGTACCGGAGAAAAGATTGGAGGAAAACACACCAGAATGCTAGCTTTCACTTAGATACATGTAATGGAATAGCAGCAGTTATTTTATTTCCTGTTTTCCAATTTAAAGTAGAAAAAAGTGGGACTGGGCTCAGTAGTTCACACCTATAATCCCAGCAGTTTGGGAGGCCAAGGTGGGCAGACCACTTCAGCCCAGGAGTTTGAGACCAGCCTGGGCAACTTGTTGACACCCCATCTCTATAAAAAAACACAAAAATTAGCCAGGCATGGTGGTGTGTACCTGTAATCCCAGCTACTTGGGAGGCTGAAGGTGGAAGATCACCTGAGCCCAGGAGACGAAGGTTGCAGTGAGCTGTGATTGCGCCACTGCACTCCACCCTGGATGATAGAATGAGACTCCATCTCAAAAAAGAAAAAAAAAAGAGCATTAAAAACCAGATGACCCTTCTTTATTTCTATGTCACAGATTTCCCAGGAATTACTGTTGTTTCTGTGGAAGGGACCGCATTTCTGGTGATCCTCTTGCCATTTGAATCTTCTCCTCTACGGAGGCCTCTGGAAGCCTTCATAGACACCTGTGTCCCAGGCATACCCCTACTCCCAACTTGCCTTTCCCCACTGGGCAGGAGGCAGATTGGATGATATTTATTTCTCCTTTCCTTTTTCTCCTATAGGCTGGCCGCACAGCTTTGTCCATCGCTCTGAAGTCACCCACCCATATGGAAATTGCTGGGCTTCTGAGAGCCCACGCAGAGCAGGGCAGGTCCCTGGGGCTGTAGGGGCTGCAGAAGAACTGGCGGTGGGGAACAAAAGCCTTCTTCTGTGGACTCCTCCCTCGCCCTTGAAGAGGGCGGAGGTCACAGGCCAGAGAGCCACCCCTCTAGAGAAGAAACTATGTCAAATATGCACATACATTCCTGTTGTATAATTCTGCTCATTAGGATGCTTTGTAGTTTTTGCCTTAGGCCAAGCCCCAAAACTACACGGGCTTCAGAGCAGGGTTCAAGGTGCAAGGTGAGGGGTACGTCGGTGTCATCCAAACATCCAAAACATCTTCAGCCTTGAATTCCTCATGACTCTACCCTCTGTAGCATTGTGTAGCAAGAAGGCAGGCAGGAGCACATTCGCACATTAGGAAAGCAATACTTTTTACATGGAATTTTAAAGTGCACTATCTTTGTTTTTTAAGCAAGTGTATACAAATATGTCCCATTGATATGCATGTCTAGAGATGGGAGGGGATTTAAGCCAACCCCCTGGCAAGCATTCTGTAGAGGACCCTAGAAGAATCACCATGCAGACTGGTGAAACTGAACAAGGACCATTTGGGAGATTTGTTTTGATGGGGTTGACAAAGAAATCTTAAATTCAGACAAGGTAGGAAGAAGCACATTGGCATCAATGCTGAATGTACAGTCTTGACTATTTCTGAGTCATCTAGTGACTCCAATGTGCTCCAGGGAAATTGGAATTAACGAAGAAATGTATTATCTAGTAGGTTAGTATGTAATAAATAAAAAAAAGAAAATCAATCCAATGACACACACCACATGTATTTGGGCAGAGTCAGATTCTCTCAGCTATTTTGAGTCTGTAAAAGAAACAAAAAAAAAAGCTTCCTCCTGAGGATGGGTTATTGTCATCAAGAAGCCGCCACATTTCCTGCAGAGCTGTACCCATTACCTATGGTAATTCCCGGTGCTTTCCCCTCATATCCCCTAGAAGCAAATATCTGTTCTGAGGTTTTCTGGGACTTGTGGCTGCAGAGCCTTCAAGCCTGGAAAGCAGCAGAAGCAAGGGAGCCAGGCAGGGCAGGGCAATCCTTTCCGAAGCTTCCATATTCCCTGGGGCCAGCACATGCAAGGTTTATATGGTCAGTAGCTCACGTGAGGTCATCTGAATACGCTCTTTCTTTAAATCTCTTACGAAAAAAAAAAAAAAACTCCCTTATATTAAAAGAAGTAGTGTCAAAGTTTGATGAGCTTTACATTGGAAACGCAAAAGCTTGCGCACTCATTTTGGCTGGGATGCCGATTTGCTGGGTGCCCCTGCGGTGAGTCATGAAACCTCCTTGGGCCCCGATTTCATCATCTCTAAAAACGGAAATTATCATACAACCTACCTCCTGGGGGGTGCTGCACAAGAAGCAGCTGATGGAAGTTTTGAAATCCAATTTGTGGCCGGGCGCGGTGGCTCAGACCTGTAATCCCAGCACTTTGGGAGGCTGAGGTGGGTGGATCTCCTGGGCTCGAGAGTTCGAGACCAGCCTGACATACATGGAGAAACTCCGTCTCTACTAAAAATGTAAAAATTAGCTGGGCGTGGTGGCAGGCGCCTGTAATCCCAGCTGCTTGAGAGGAGGCAGGAGAATCGCTTGAACCTGGGAGGCGGAGGTTGCAGTGAGCTGAGATCATGCCATTGCACTCCAGCCTGGGTAACAAGAGCGAAACTCTGTCTAAAAAATAAAAGTTAAAAAAAAAAAATCCAATCTGTAACCCATTAAGGCCATCTATAGAAATGGTACAGCAAACTTCTTTATGCCATTGTGATTCATAAGAGAGGCTCAAAGTCCCAGAACACAACGACATGTGTTGATGCAACTCAGAGGTGGAGAGAATGGAGCAAATAATGAGCAAAAAAAAAAAAAAAAAAAAAAAAAAAGGCTTTAAATGGGTTTATTTTGACCTCAAAATACATTGTAAGAGCAACATCCTATGTTAATAAATGTTCTAGCCCGGTGCTTCGCGAACATTTATCTGCATACAAATCACCTGGGATCTTGTTAGAAGGCAGTAGGTCTGGGGTGGGGCCTGAGAGTCTGCATTTCCAACCAGGTCCAGGGAGATGCTGATGCTATTGCGCCACAACCACACTTTGAGTAGCAAGCCTCTGGCCTATCCTTATTGTTTGTTATATTAAAATGCTGCCTCACAATCTTCTGTCTCAAAATTTCTTTGCATTTCTCTGCTCTTGGTTCTTGGGAATTTGCAGCGTGGGTCTTATTTGCTATTGTCTTCAGTATGGAGTCTGTGTCCTGTGTTGCCTGTTTAGGATTTATTTCTGCATCTCATGTTAGGTGGCAACTTTCATTGGGTCACTTTAAAAAAATGAAATCATATTCAAAACAACTTATTTACCAGGAAAAGCAAACTGGGTTTCCTAGGGCTTGAAGACTACTTACTCATCACTATCAAAAGACTGTCCATCCTGTCTGAGGTTTTTAATAATTTTATTTTAATCTCGAGTTTTGGACATGAGCATATGATTTCATCCTTTATAATCATTTCTTTCCTTTGGAATGTCTGAGCTCAGAATATGGTGAGATGAACAAGCACAGCCTGCCTTCCTGTCACGGTCCCTCAGCTTTAAAATTCATTTAAAAATATCTATTGATTGGGGTGCTGAGGCGGGCAGATCACTTAAGGTCAGGAGTTAGAGACCAGCCTGGACAACATGGTGAAACCCTGTCTCTACCAAAAATATTTAAAAATTAGCCAGGTGTGGTGGTGTGTTCCTGTAATCCCAGCTACTCAGGAGGCTAAGGCTGGAGAATTGCTTGAACCTGGGAGGCTGAGGTTGCGGTGAGCCAAGATCACGCCACTGAACTCCAACCTAGCCAACACAGCGAGACTGTCTCAAATATATATATGTGTGTGTGCGTGCGTGTGTGTGTGTGTGTGTGTGTATATATATATACATATATACCGGCCAGGTGCCCGGCACTGTTCCCAGCACTAGAGACATCACAGTGAGTCCAGTTCAGTCTCCTGCCTCACCATCCCCTAGGGAAAACACATAGAAGGTCAAAGGAAGCCCGGAGGGGTACCACTAAAGGGAACCAGAGCTGGCCTTAGGAAGTCAAGGGAGGCTTCCTGGAGGAAGGGCCACTGAACTTAAAGATTACTGGATGTTAGGCAGAAAAGGAAGCGGAGTGAGAGGTGAGTGTGCCAGGCAGAAGAGTACTGCTGTAACTGCCCAGTGAGTTCACCTTGCCCATTGCCTAGACAGAGCTGATTTATCAAGACTGGGGAATTGCAATAGAGAAAGAGTAATTCACACAGAGCTGGCTGTGCAGAAGAACAGAGTTTTGTTATTACTCAAATAAGTCTCCCCAAGCATTGGGGGAGCAGAGTTTTAAGGACAACTTGGGGGCTGGGGGGAAGCCAGTGAGCCGGGAGTGCTGATTGGTCAGGTCGGAGATGAACTCAGAGAGAGTTGAAGCTTCTTGCACTGAGTCAGTTGCTGGGTGGGGGCCGCAAGATCAGAAGAGCCAGTTTATCGATCTGGGTGGTGCCAGCCGATCCATCAAGTGCAGGGTCTGCAAAATGTCTCAAGCACTGATCTTTGGAGCAGTTTAGGGAGGGTCAGAACCTGGTAGTCTCCTGCTGCATGACTCCTAAACCATAATTTCTAATCTTGTGGCTAATTTCTTGTCCTGCAAAGGCAGTCTAGTCCCCACGGAAGAAGGAGGTTTGTTTTGGAAAAGGGCTGTTATCATCTTTGTTTTAAACTATAAACTTCCTCCCAAAGTCAGTTCAGCCTGCGCCCAGGAATGAACAAGGACAGCTTGGAGGTTAGAAGCAAGATGGAGTTGGTTAGGTCAGAGCTCTTTCACTGTCTATTATAAGTGTGCAATGGCAGTTTCACTGTGGAGGCTGAAAGAAGGGAGAGCAGCATGTGGGGGCCTTCATTCAGTTCAATGTGGCTGCCATGTTTGAGTGGGACACTGAAATCAAAGGGTGTATTTTTAAGAGACGAGATTGAAAATACGTGGAGACCACATCAGAAAGTGCTGTAAAAGCTGTGGTAAGGCTTTATTCCAAAGGCAACAGAAAGCTATTGAAATCAAGATTTAAAATGGAGAAATCCATTCCTCTAACCCACATTTAACGCATATTTATCAGGTACCTCTTCCCTTCCAAGTGCTGTGCTTGAGGCTGGACCTATGCCAGCGGGCGAGTTAGGCACAGAGTACACTGCACATGAACAGGGAAGAAAGACAAATGAGCCACCGCCTTGCAGTGAGAGCCATGTCGCAACTGGGCGAGCAGAGGGTGCTGGGGTGTGCCTAGATGGGGCCCTCAGCCTAGTCCCCCCTTCACCTAGAATTGGGGAGGGGGTCTAGGAAGGCTTCCTGAGGGATATTTTAGCTATCTGAAGGATGCGTAGGAGCTAGCCAGGCAAAGAGGAGCAGGAGAATGTTCCAGGCAGAGGAAGAAGCATGAATAAAGCTCCAAAACAAGAGAGAATATTGATTTGGGCCATTCAAAGAATGTTAGCGTGCCTACGCTGGGCACAGTGGCCCATGCCTGTAATCCCAGCACTTTGGGAGGCCAAGATGGGTGGATCATTTGAGGTCAGGAGTTCGAGATCAGCCTGACTAACGTGGTAAAATCCCATCTCTAATAAAAATACAAAAATTAGCTGGGTGTGGTGGCATGTGCCTGTAATCCCAGCTACTTGGGAGGCTGAAGCAGGAGAATCACTTGAACTGGGGAGGCGGAGGCTGCAGTGAGCTGATATCTCACCACTGCATTCAAGTCTGGGTTACAGCCAGACACAATTCCCCACTACTCCCAAAAAAGGAAGCAAAGCTTAGATTCACATGTTAAAAACAGCACTCCAGTTTTTTTTAGCATGGGTGACATTTATTCAATAAACATTTGTGGAGTGTCCGTTCAGAGTCCTGGGCTCCAGAGTTAAGGGCTTGTTGGAGGGGGCAGATGTAAGCTAATGACAACGGTGAAATGTGACAAGTGTTGGAAGCCTGAGTCAAGTTGCAGAGACTGACTTGGACAAGGGGAGTCAAGGAAGCCTCCCAGAGGAGTGGCTTTTCAGCTAAGCCATAATGAAGCCTAGGAGTTTAGACATAACAGCAGGTGGATGGAAGATGTGGCACGTGAAAAAGCGTGACCTGAGCCAGGCACGCTGGCTCACGCCTGTAATCTCAGCTGTTCGGGTGGCTGAGGCACGAGTCGCTTGAACGCGGGAGGTGGAGGTTGCAGTGAGTCGAGATCACACTACTGCACTCCAGCCTGGGCGACAGAGTGAGACTCCATCTCGAAAAAATGAAAAGGGAAAAAAACGAAAAAGTGTGACCTGTTGGGCAATGGAGACAATTTCAAAATGACTTTAGTTTCAGTTACGCAGGAGACGTGACTAAACAGGAGATGTGAGAGAGAGGTCAGGAAACATATTGCACTTGTACATTGATACTTGGAATTTGGACTTGTGCCTGTAACTGGAGGGGAGTAACAGGCCCCTTTGAAAATGCAAAGGCCTCAACAGAAAAAGTTTGGGAGGCCAAGGCGAAAGGATTGCTTGAGGCCAAGAGTTTAAGACCAGCCTGGGCAACATAGCAAGACTGCATCGCTACAAAAAAAATTTTTTTTTTAAATAGCCAGGCATGGTGACACATGTTTGTAACAATCCTAGTTACTTAGGAGACTGAGGCAGGAGGATTGCTTGAGTCCAGTTAGTTATTTTTGCACCACTGCACTCCAGCCTGGGTGACAGATTGAGATCCCATCTCTAAAAAAAAAAGAAAGAAAAAGTAAAAGGGCCAGGCGCGGTGGCTCATGCCTGTAATTCCAGCACTTTGGGAGGCCAAGGTGGGCTGATCCATTGAGGTCAGGAGTTCCAGACCAGCCTGGCCAATATGGTGAAACCCCTATCTCTACTAAAAAATACAAAGCTTAGTAGGGCATGTTGGTGCATGCCTGTAATCCCAGGTACTCGGGAGGCTGAGGCATGAGAATCGCTTGAACCCAGGAGGCAGAGGTTGCAGTGAGCCAAGATTGCGCCACTGCAACCCAGCCTAGAGCGAGTTAGACTCCATCTCAAAAAAAAAAAGAAGGCAAAATTTGCATGTAACTTCAGGAATTCAAAAATCTGCACCTAGCTGAACGCAGTTGCTCACACCTGTAATCCCAACACTTTGAGAGGCTGAAGCAGGAGGATCACTTGAGCCCAGGAGTTAAAGACCATTCTGAACAACATAGTGACACCCCATCTCTACAAAAAAAATTAAAAACTAGCCAGGCGTGGTGATGTGTGTCTGTAGTCCCAGCTACCTGGGAGGCTAAAGTTAGCCCAGGAGGTCAAGGCTGCAATGACTGTGATCTCACCACTACACTCCAGGCTAGGTGACAGAGTGAGACTCTGTCTCAAAAAAAAAAAAAAAAAAGGACTCAAAATCTTACTGCTATGGGCAGTGGGGAGCCATTGATTTCTAAACAATAGGCGCATATGATCAGATTTGCTATTTATTGATAGAATGATCACAGAAGGTGACTGAAAGCAAAGAGATCAGCTAGGATGTTCTAATGAGACACTGGGCATAAAGCAGGAAGGGCCCAGTGCATGGTGGTACTGGTGGGGATGAAGAATAGAGCCCTGTAGGAAAGGCATCAGGAATGGGATGTGCCAGCATGTGGTGACAGACCGGATAGTGAGTGGAGAGCCATCAAAAATGATGACAGGAGAATGGTGGGATATGCTTTCTTCTCTTCCTCCTTAATATCAGAATTCCCAACTTTTAGGCGGGCACGTAACCACTTAGAATAGACTTCATTTGCCGGCTCTCCTTGCAGCTTGATGTGACTGTAACTACGTCCTGGCTAGTGAGGTATGAGTGAAGTGAGGTGTGCGAACTCTGGCTCCTGCATTTAAAGGAAAAGGAAATGCATTTCCCCCTTCCCACTGGCTGGAATGTGGTAGTGATCCATCTTGATCCGAGGAGATGAGGCCACCGTCCTAGGGATGATAGAATAGCAAGTCAGAAGGAGTGTAGGTCCCCAACACCATAAAGTTGTCATCTCCTCTCTGGACTGCTTATTCTGCATTTGATATCTGAGCAAGAAATAATCTTCTCACATGTGTAAGCCATTGTACACTTGGATCTCTGTGGCAGTAGGAGTTAGACAAATGC